AGGATTCGCCTAAAGGATCTTTGAGAAGTCAGAGGCTTAACCACCTTTGTGACGCGTCGCTTCGCCGCGCGTATCAGGGCCACCGTGACTAGAGAACTTCTCCCAGATGTGTGTACATATATATACATATATATACACGTATGTACTTACTTACTTCTCCAGGGCTGTCGTGACCGATCGCGTTTCGATTAATTTTTTGCCCGTGAATTCTACGCTTTGTTGCCGAGTGGCACGCTCGTAAAACCTGCGTTTTTGCACGCAAACGCTCTCCGGCGTATCTACCAATACGAGAACGTTCATAGTTCTATATACCTCTAGCCGATTCGACAACGCTGGGCTAGCGAAAGAGAAAACTACGAGTGACCCGTGGAATATGTAATTTAATGGGCTCGCCCCGGTTTTTAATAAATGATCACCAGCCTGCGGGGATTGTCGGGATTGTTTATCGAAGTGTATTATTGGTGGTGATTGGATTCGGGTACGATACGAAAGTGCGGTGCGTTTATTCGGTGTAGTAATGGGGAAGTGTGTATCGATGACTCGACAATTTGGTCACGTTCCAGTAATAAACGTTCTTTTAATCCGTTTATCGGGTGTTTGTATTACCGAACCGATCCATGGGATGTCGGTGCTCGATTTTGTGCCCTCCAGTGGTGAGGGCAAGATTCGAATCATTAGGGATTATCGATGAGCATCAATGTGGAACAGACCAGAAACCGTCATCAATTAGAGTTAAATAATAGTTGGCGTTGTCTGTTGGTTCGCGAGGCTGCTTCCGGGATCCTGGGACCCCATCCAACTCTTTCGATCACTTTGATTCATTATCTAAGCGACATATCGAGAGAGGAAGAGAAAAACCAAGTAGTGTATACCCTTTGAACTTCTAAACGCTACAGTTCCAATTAAAAATCCTTATTACCTACTTATCGTCAGGCGTGATCGGTAAAGAAACGACGAAAACAAGTTACACAGATAAGCATCGTATGGTTCATTCATCGAGGAAGAAAATACGAAGACAAAAGATCGTGCCTACGTCCACCTGTGCAGTGTATATATCTACCATTTAGTAACGAGGTGTACAAACACCGGCAAAAGATGCTCGAGTCATCGTCGTAAAAGCGACGTTGGTTCGCGCTGGATTTCCAACGCATACATCCTTCTCCTCCATTCACGGCCCCGTAAATTAGCGCGGATCCCACGATCATCAGCGAACCGTGGCCGAGCCGGATAATAAACGCACGTTGGTTAATCGATCGACAGACACGTATCAAGGAAGGAAGGAGAGGCGGTGGTAAGACTAAGTACGTGGCGGCGTTAGATAGACGCGCGAGTTACCGCGAATCGGTCACGTACGATTCCACGATTAGCCACGCGAGTTCCTAGAGGGGCCACTAGACGCCGAACAATAAAGGATCGACCAAGGCTTCTTAGGACGGCCGCGCGTGTGCCTCGAGGAAGATTCTCTATCGATTAATAGAGGACGCGAGCGAGACTTTCGCTTGGATAAAGCTCGAAGAACCATCGCATCGCCGCGATTCATTCGCTTGTCAAGAGGGAAGGGAAGAACCGTTCGTGGCTCAGGTGGTCCTCGATGAGTCGACGCGCCG